CAGTTAATCCAATTTTTTATATTTGGAATTAAAGAATGCGTAAATCTTGATTTTTGGGAATGGTTCCACCTATATTGCCATTCATTAAAGTATTTGTCTCTCATTTTTAGATAAGAATCTGACAGACATTGCTCAGTTTCAGTCATTCGTAAACGAGAACGCACGAAAAAACTGCCTCTGGGCAAGAGCGCTTCAATATCTAGTGGCATACGTCCAGCCACTGTGCTTTTAAAATTCTATTATTGTATGTTCTTATATGCCATAAATGCTAGTTTAACCTATTTCATTCAAACAATTTTAATAAATATATGTTATGACATCTACAGCGTCCTCTAAGTGAACAATTTCATTATTAAATCATACGGATTATTCATTATTTTCACATATTGCACTATATGCCTTTCGGAAAAAAATCTTGCACAGACTTTTAAAGCGGATAGGCACCAAATTTTTTTTCTATTATTAACCTTTGTACTTTGAAATAGACTACCTGCGTTATTCGTTGATATTATTAAATAATATCTATCAAATTAAAAATTAAAAACTATATCGTATTTGGTTAATGGAAGCTGAAATGTATTTTAATATTTTTTTTAAATTTTTTAAATATTTTAGGTTCACTGAAATTGTTTTTTTAACTTTAAAATATGCGTAAATTTTTAATTCCTTACAACACAAAACTAAAACATTAACAATTTTTGTTCGAATTTGTAAAATGTAACTCTGAAATCAAATTTGTAAAATAAACCTTTTCAGAACTGTTAAAGTTACTCAGAAGAACTTTAAAATAAAAATTACTCATACGCCACCGTAAACCAAAAATTGTTGCACATATGCGTCAACACGTTTTCACTGTTAATTTAAATTTATTCGTTTTTTGTGCACATGTGCCCATAACCTGAGCAGACTCTCTCACTCCAAGCCAAACTGTCTGAACCCACATATGTTATCTGAGCTCCTGCAGTTATTAAAATAATTTTGCAACAATTTTTTAAAATGTCATAAAATTTTATACCACACTTAACCGACTTTACGTGGTATAAAAAAAAGTACATCAATTTTATTTTAAGCTATATTTAGACAATATATATTTTTAGTTTAAAGAGGAATATATATATTTAATTATAATTATAAGATATAAATACATCTTACGAGACAGATGATTATTGTAAAAAATTTATATATTAAAAGTGATTTTCCGTAGTAAATGGTAAAGATTATATTAGTTAGAAAAAAGTTTATTGATTATAATATGTGATTAACTATACTATCATCTGAATAATATGGGTTTATCTAAGGTGACAAAATATCATCCCTATCTATTAGTGGATGAGATCCATTAACATTTTTTGTAACGCAGTAACTTAGTTTAAGCTGACTTTTCTAACTGGAAATGTATAAAACTTCTAGTCAAATTTTTTGTAGTTCGTCTGCTTTGGTTTAGGCTAAGAAAAAAATATTCGCGTGGAACCTTCTGATCACAACTAATTTAGGGAACTTTTTAGAGAAGAGTTCTTACGTCTTTGCCAGTAAGAAGTTACGACTTCTATTCACATTTTTGCACTTGTATGACCTGACACTCAACCAGCAAAAATGTACGAAATAAGAGCAAAATCACCTTGCAATATATAAGATAAGAACCTCCACAATAAGAAATATTTTGGATTCTCTTCAAAATTTCTATTCAGTCTTCTAGGCAACAATTATTAGTTATTATTTATATTCGCAGCATTCTAGTACGTTCGTCCTTTAAATAGCAATTTAACTGACACTAAAAAGTATGCTTCCTTTCGATAAGGGTCGGTTGTTGCACAAAATATATATTATATTCTTATTAAATAAAAATTTAAATAATTTATTCTTCATTATTCTCTTAAATTTGACATGTCTATAACTTCTTGATTCCTGATTCTTCTTCTTCTTGAGTTAGTGCTATTACGCACTTTTACTCTATAATGGTTGGGTGGCTTATCTCTACCCCACACTAGGCTTTAACTAGGCTAAAAAAAAAACAACATATCATTTATTTGTCTTTTAGTTGATGACGGACCTTAAATCAGCATATCTTCCTGAGAGTTCAGGAACTTGAGGATTGTTAGGGCGGGGTTAATTAGCGTATCAACTTTAGTGAATAATTTTAGAGCTCTGTCTCTGATATATTTTTTCACTGAGTCAATCCTAAGATTTCTATGTATGTCTGTGGATCTAACATACGATGGTATTGAGCTATCTGTAATTGCTTTAAGGTAGTATTTGAGGCTTTGCTATATGTAACACATTCGTACAGTAGTGCAGGTCTAATTACTATAACTAAGATAGTTAATATAAACTGTACAACATTACGACAAACACCCAGATAGACAGGCAAACATTACTTAATTTATTTATCGATTAATTATACAAATATACGATTAATATGATATGATATGATGATGTTTCATTTAAATTAAAATTGAATATATGATTTAGTTCACAGTACAGTGAAAGTATTATAAAAAGACATAAAATCATTTCAAAAAGAAGGACACGGAACTAATTAAAAACGGAAAATTCCTTCAATAACTTTTTTTTTAATTCATGAAAAATATGGTAAATAATAAGTTCAAAAAGTTTTAAAATATTTATTAGTTCTTTCCATAATCCGGTTTTTTTACCTTCTGAATAGTATCAAAAAAAAAATAATTAAAAAAATTCCATTTTACTACGAAAAAAAAGATTAAAAATTAACACAAAAGGAAAGTTTTCAGGTTGACTAATTTTAAAAATTTTTGATTAATATTTCACAACTTTTTAGGAAATCCGATATTTCTAAAATGCAGGAAATTTATGTGAATTTATTACTTTGCATAATATCGAAACTTCACTAAAAATTTTTAATTATGATTGTTGATGGTCTAAAATAAAAGACTTCTGGGAGTAATAAATAAATATTAAAATCAGTTATTATTTTTCTGAAAGTAAATATAATATTTTAATTAAAATTCAGGTTGAAAAATATTTTTCGGTTATTAATACTTTTCAATAATAAAAACTAATAATGTGTTTTTAATTTTTTTCTATAACTTTTCAACAGTTTCTGGCTTACTTATTTCCTCTAATTTTAGGGGTTATTCCCTACAAGAAGTTTGCATCATAAAATTTTTTACTTATGTGTTAAATCAGTATGCTCTTTTTTTACTATTCAATTATAAATATTTTCAATTGAAAATACATTTTCTATACTACATATATATATAGATTGAATCCTTTACTCCTAGGAGAAGCATAGAACCGCAACAAAGATCTACGATCATTGATTAGTAGCTTCAAATCTCCCCAGCTTTTCCACATATGTGACATATACATATCAATTTACCTTCTCCCAGTGTGTACAGGTCTGCCCCTCTTCTGATACCCATCGGGTTCCACTCAAACGCAATTATTGTGGCGTCGCCAATAGGTCTACGCAAAGTGTGACCGACCCAGTTACATTTGCGTTTTCTGATTTCGGTTCTTATAGGTGTTTGCTGAGTTTAAATCTAGAAACGGTCATTTGGAATTATATTTGACCAAAATACTTTAACAAGTATTTGCATAATGAACGATTTACGAGAACTTGTTGATACCCTTTGTCGCAGCATTCCAAGATTTACATCCATATAAGAAGCAAGATTTTATGTTGGAGTTAAGTATTCGTACTTTAGTTCGGTGCGATAACTGAGATGATCTCCAGACTTTATTTAAGCGACCAAACGCTAGTTTTGCCTTCTTGATGCGGTTCTCGATGTCAGCACTGGATTCACCATTTACTAATAATATGCTTCCAAGTTAGCAGAAAAACTTTACATCAACAAGGCAGTAAATGTTTATATTAAAAGGATCTTGGACGTTAGCATTAATCCGCATAACTTTTATTTGGACGACATTGATTTTAAGTCCCGCTCTATTTGCCGTAGTTACTAAACGATTTAGGCAAACATATCACCATATCTTTGTACCAGCAGACACAAGTCAATGACGTAATCGAGATTACACAAGCTATCTTGAAGACCACAAGTGATTCCGCCAACTTAGCCCAATGCCTCTGCCAAGACAACTTCCAGGACGATGTTGAACAGCAACATTACGCTACCCTGTCATATATATGTACCTATATATATATACTACATATATATCTAGCTGATGGCTTTTGATTTAAAATACATTTTTTTTATACAATATATATAGCTTTTAATATAAAAATTCCTTCTGAATTCTATACACAATGTTCAATAGTGTGATGCCTTTTGTCACCCAACCTAGTTTATTGAAAAAGAATCATAGTGATGATAGCTTCGCAAAATATTTTTCAATTTATCTCTTATTGGTTTATAAATTAATTATCATACACATATAGTGTCCTTATCCATATGGAAGCCATAGTTCAAAAGATAAACATATGTAATAAACAAGCAAATTGAATGGATATAAAAACGGAATAATAGATTAAAGCATCAATTTTGGCGCATATATCAAAAAAAAGGGATTTATTCATCGCATGTACAAAAAACTTTTCTATTTGGGTTTCTTTGTTGTTCTTCCAAATTTCAATCAGCTTCCAGCGAACGAGCGATAACAAAGTAAATGCAATTATTCTATCACAATTTTATTCCCCTAATTCCTTACCCTACCCATTACCCATTGATTGTATGAAATTTTTCTCATTCCTCTTTCCCATTCAAATTCTGATCAAAATTATTCAATGCTAAACTCATTTATTGTATTTAAATTTATTGCGCTAAGACCGTCATTGCTGCTTGGCTTCGGATATTCTGTTCAGCGTCACTCATACGTACTGTTGTACTCATATGTCAACTTCCTTTCTAATAAAATCAAGTGTAACGACATTAATTTCAGCAAACTTTTGATAATAAATTCTCAGCAAACAAATAATGAAATATCATAAAACCAATTTACAATACATATTCCATTTACATACATACTTCCACTGTGTTAATGTTAGTTTAATATTTCTTTTGCAGGACGAGAAAAATCAATTACTTATCACAAATATTTGGCTTAAGCTGGTAAGTTGGTAATAAAACACTCAAAAATACATAAAATGCTAAAAAAATAGTACAAAACATATAGCGAAAGCAAATAATATTAAAACTGATTGATAAATGTACATACACATAGAACAACATGAAATTTTAATAAATAAAAAAAAACTGAATACAAGAACTCATTTATCTTGTGCTAGCAAAGGATGTTCGACTTAGAAAAAGAGGTGTATGGACCAAGACGATATTTTTTAGATATTTTTTATTATCTGTGTAAAATAAAATTAATTTCGTATGCATTTAACATTTAAATTTGGCTGTCAAAATGGAAACTTACTAAAGAAATAAAGTGGTTATTATATATTTTAGTTAGAAAAACTTTAGAAATGCTATTTTAATTAGTCATAGTATAGATACAGATACTTAAAAGAAAATGCAACTAGATATAAGTACAGGTACTGTAAACGGGTATTGTTAGGAATATCGAAAATACACAAATGTAGAGCTCGAAATAAAAATATAACTTATGACAATAAGAATATATCTATTTTAACTATGCACAGTGCATATAGAATAATATATATAGGATCAAACTTAATGTTGTAGCTTTTTATTGAAGCAACAGTGCTAAAAGACCTACGCTAAGCCCAGAAGGGGGGACCAATAGACACGATGGTCGCAGTGCCACATCCCCTAACAATAATAATTAAAAGAAAATGTTGCTGAATGCAAAAAATACCTAAATGCAAATACAGTGACTGTTCTAAAAAGCTAGTTAGGAAAAGATACTTATTAAAAAATCTTTCAAATACACAAAGGTAGATTTTAATAACAAAAAAATAATAATATAATAATATATACACGTTGTATACAAAATAATAAATATAGAATTAAACATTATATTAATTAAATAGAATAGATAGACAGATTATACCAATACTTTGACCACATATGGGAATTTGAATATAGTTTTACCCACATATATTGTACATAGATTACAATAAGTATCTTGAATAACAACAGCTGCTAAGTAATAATATATTTTAAGTTCACATAAAACTTTTTCAACAATTAGTCATTTACCATATGAATGTCATCAAGTTCCTCAATACACCTACTTTAGTAGTTAACTACCTCATAATTTGAATAGATGTTCATGAAGTTCTTCATGATAACTTTGTTCATAGTAGTAAGTGACATCTCATTAACAATTTTATTAAAGACATATTGCTTATGAATCAATCCATAGGAGTGTATTATTTGAAATACTTAACAGTTCCTTGTTTAGAATATTCATTCTGAAATCATTCTTCATATTATTTTCCGGCTTTTGTTTTTATTTCGGATTGTAATACGGAAGCTCCAAGACACAATTTATGTATATAAGTTTTGAAATCTCGTTTTGCGCTTCATTATTATTTTAGTTATTTCAATTTAACAAAAACTTTATATATCAAATGGTTTTCCTTGCCAAAATTGCTTTTTGCGGAAATTAAATTGTAGTGTCAAAAACGTTTTCATAATTTCACATTGCATCTTTTCCAACCAAAGATACCGCGAAGCCATATTTATTATTTTTTATTATATTTCTTCTACGATTCCTTTATTTCCTTTTCATATTTTAATCTGTATTAAGGTGAAGTTGAAAATGCGTCGTATATAGTTATAGATATTATATATAAATAAGTCCTCAAAGTTTAGCATATGAAATTGAAAAATTTATGAATTAATAATATATAATTGAATATAGAAAATTATATTAACATTATTTTTATTTAATTATATAACAAATATATAATAGTATAATAACACATAATATACGTGCTTTCAATTAATTTAACTTTTATATATATCTCTTTTACAAAGAGATTGTTTTTATAAATAAATTAAAACACTTTATCCTACAATCTAAAACAATTTCTTTAAATTTTTTATATAAATAAATTAATTATAAAACATTAATCATGCTTTGCTCTTTTACCAGGAATGGAACGATATGAATTTGCGCTGGAACTCCAGTGACTTTGGTGGCGTTAGGGATTTGCGCATACCACCGCATCGACTATGGAAACCGGATGTGCTCATGTATAATAGGTAAATGCAATTCTCCGGATAAACTTATTAAAATTTATGCAGTCACTTCATCCTATTTTGTGTTGAAAGGAAGAAAGTGCTTAATTGAGCAGAGCTAATTGAGTAAAGTATTAAAATGGATTTTAATTTGTTACAATATACAATTTAATTCAATTGCACTTTAAAAGCCACAAATACATACGCAAATATAAATAAACAACTGCGAAGCAAATATTTACAAAGTTAACGACAAAGAAAGTGCAGTAGTGCAGCACTTTAATAAATTTATTTGAGCAGTGAATGGGTTCATTTTGTGTAAGTGTGAATCCGTGTGTGTATATGTTCACAAACCTGCACAACTACACAATTGAAAGCCATTTTGTGTGGAAAAGTTTTTTTTTAATTTTATACTCTTTCTCCTTTTTTATATTTTGTTGCACTCATTTATCGGGTTAACAAAAATAAAGTCAACCAAACACTGTCCATTGAATGGGCGTAGAGTTGAGTTGTAACAAAGACCATATACGACGACTAAAAAGATAGAAAAGTATCCAAAGTGCCATACAACTATAGAAAGATGCGCAAATATATACCCACATAGATACTTACATATAAATTAATAATACTTGAAGTACTGTAAACAATGTACAATGCTGGCTACAACCGCTTCCGTTGTTTTGGTTTAAAAATATATTCTGTTGCTTCACTTTTCTCTTCCTTCTTTTATTGTATTTTTTCATAGTTTCTACTTTTTACTTTTGTTTCTCCTTTAGTTTTATTTATCTTTGCAAATGTGGCAACTGTTATTATTGTTGTTGAATGCGCGACCTAAAATCTTATTTCTGAATCCTTTACCAACAATACAAGGAAGCAAAGAGAATGGATGAAGAAGAAGGAAAATGCGGGCTGTGCTACTTTTGTCCGGGTCATACCCACATTAACCAAACTCAAAACTGTATTTTTGGCTAAAAGCCTTACAAATTAGCTTTTTATAATTATTAAATGTTTTACATTCCAAGTAGGACACTTTTAAGTGAAGTTGAATTGTTTTAGCCACATACATTTAGTTTTATGTATTTAATAATATATTCTCTTTTATTTATTATGTTAAAGAAGTACTTAAATAAATATTAAAATTTGCACTGCAGTAATTTTTAAAAAAAAGTTCTTTATCATGCATTTATAGATGGAAGAGATAGAATACTTGATTAGGCCAAAGATTTAAGTTCACATAATACAAAAAACCCTTAAATACTCTTTAATTCTTAATGTAGAAACTTATTTCAATGTCTGTACAAAATATATAATAAATTTTAAAGCAAATTATTCTAGAACGAACCTGTATAAATCCAATCTGTATGACATTATTGAGAGCAAAAATTTCAATTTGCTTTGTGATTGACATAATCCTTTGTTCTACACGATAAATGAAATCAAAATATGTAGCAACTACAAATAAGATTAAATACTTTAAATAATTTTAAATTTCAACAATATTTTTATATTAATATTGTATTTACAATGCTAGTTATTTTATATCCCACTCTAACATCAACTATATTCATTATTTCTAAGACTAAATACTTAATAACATAGACAGTAATTCGTATTCTATTACTATATAAGGAAACCAAAAGAATGGATAAAAAGGAGGAGAAATGGGGCTGTGCTTGTCCAGTTCATACCCACATTTAAATATTATCATGAAATATAAACTATAAGTATATATGTAAATGTCTTGAAGTAATTCCCGTACCATAAATCTGAAGATAAATAATTATAGTAGTAAGGGAACTCGGTTTTAAAACAACTCGCATCGGCGTCAATTCAATAAATTATATACATTGTGATATAAAAGTAACGGTGAGTGTTCGAAGAGTCATTAACTGAACTTTATCTTTTACTCATACTTAAATTACTAGTCTGGTAACCAATGTGGAAATAAAACTTACTTGTAATCTTCAGTATGCGTGTTCTATGAAAGTTCTATGAATCAATTATAAGAATTATCAAGCAATTTTTTAATATATGAATACTTTAGGCATGCTTTTCATATTCTCAGTATTAAAAGTCTCATAACTATTTCCGTACTTTATTTAATTGAAAAATAAAACTTTTATTTTTTTTAGTAAATAATAACTTTCAATTAACTTTTCTATATTTTAACATAATTTTTCGATTAAAGTGTTACTCATATCGCTCGTATCTAATTTATTACTAATCTTAACATTAAAGGTTCTTTCTTTTTTATATTTGAATATTACTTCTAGAGAGTTTTATTGTATCATTCAATTTAAGATATTTGCTATTTTGTAGTCAATATCGACCATTTGACCACATTATATCCAATTTAACAATTGGTTTTTTTCCCTAATAAATCTTTTTACCGCACATAAAAGGAAACTCGTAAAAAATAAAATCGCATCTACAATTTTTTATAAATTGAATAAAATTGAATCTCTCTTGAAACCATCTTGAAAAAGTAACATTTCCTAAGTCATTTTAAAGGCAATTGTACTTTCGTAAAGTATAAAAATAAAATTTATTAGTCAATTTATATATATACATATACTACAGATTTTTGCCATCAATGAATAAAAACAAATGAGTGAGGACTATAGTTCATTTGAATAAATGAAATTCCAAAATTGCCTAGAATCTTAACAATTGAAAATAATCATATGTAGTGTCATGCATCAAACGTTAAAAAACGTTTGTATTTTTCTATGATATATAAACATATTTTAAAATTTGATGTTTAAAATTAATATATTTCAAATCAAATATTTAATTTAAATAAAATTTTCGCATTAAATTCATTATTTCAATAAATTGATATTGTCTGAGGCAAAGCAATTCCCTAAGAATTAGCATTCGAAGTATATAATTTGCATAAATTTATTGTGCTCTCTCATGTATTTCATATATGTATGAGCAATTAAACAAGGACATTAGTGGGTTAACGTTTTCGCTAATGCGAAATATTCAACATGAAATTCCAAACAATTAAAAATTTATTGAAAACTTTTAATGCAAACAAGAACGTTAATTACGCGCTCACGCATCCACAGCGCATAACTTTCGTTGGCAGACATGCACATGGAATTACAAATAAAAAGGATTTTATGATGTGCCTGCGTGTGGGTGGGATCCTTGTTAACTATTTTGCATTTAAACAAATTCACTTGAATGTCATCAGCCGCCCACACATAAGTTTCAAATGAATTTCTGTTTATTTGCAAAGAGAGCGTATCCTTTTATTCCCATTTCCATTTCTTCTTTTTTTTTTGTTGCTTAAATTCCTTTGTGGTTTGATTTTGACAAAAGTTCACAAACAGATTTGTTTATGCAATACTACTTTCTCAAAGATAACATCAAACTGATTTTCATGTATCTATTATAACTCATTTAAATCAGTGTTCCCTTACGGAATTAAAATCCTTTTTAAAATACTCTTATTAAAATTCATTTTTCAGTAAGTTTGTTTCTGAAGCCATATGTGATAATTATTCTGTAAGTCCTGCTAAAGGACAGGGAATCAACAAAATATTTTCTTTTCGTTCTGTTATAATTATAATAATTTTACTAATAATTAATTTAGCTTCAATATTTTCTAGATTCTATCATTTCCTTTTAAAGATTTTGCTTTCATAAAATTTTGGTCGGCTTTTGTTTTGCTTTCTTGAAGATAAGCCTATAGTCTATAATAATTTTATATGTTTATCTACCGAGAAATCTTAAAATACATATATTCAAATAATCCTCCGAAAAACACCACCATTGCAAAAAAGTTTCGTCACTGGGAATTCAATTTATATTTTTGGATATCACTTTCAACTTATACGCCGTGATATCCGTTAAATAAGCCCTGGCACTTATTCAGAGGCCCCTTATACCATTTTACAAACCAATATATATTTCATTATAATATGTTTATATAAGATAATTTGCAATGTAATATTATTAATCTTTAAGATTCTAAAACTTATTGTTTGACTTTAATTTAAAGCGATTCAATAAAGACATATTGTTAAATAAAAAAAATAAAAACTTTTTCCTCGGTCAGAAGCGAGACCTATCTAACACCCTCGCTATTCTTTGGGTCACAGCGCCCAGTTGAAAAATACATTTTTGCTCTCCTACTTATCAGACTCAAACAAAGCCTATCAACTTTACCTTTTGATCAATAATACTGCATAAAGATTTCATAAAAGTCATTCGGATTATTTTCACGTGAATACGCAGAAAATACATATGGAAAAAAAATTGTTTAAATATAAAAATATATGAAACCACATAAATTATTATCAAAATTATTTTTGACTTTAAATTTAGTTAAAAAAAATTTGGAATAATTCGGAAAAAAAAAATATATACAAAAATCATTATTAAGCAGCTTAAATGCAATCTTTATATCCTTAAATCAGTTAATCAACTGCAGCTATGGTAGACATTTTTTTACTTAATCGGCTTATCTACATTTTTATTGCAAATCACACAGAAAGAATTATTTTGCGTAATGCAAATACTGATTTTGTAAGAGACAACTTTATTCAAATATGCAGGAATTTATAAAAATTTTTCAAATATATTAATATTATCTAATGTAATCTTATAATAATGTAAGCTATTATAAAAGTATTAAGATATAGTGTTTTTTAATTTAATATAACGATCTTACCTTTTTTTATTTCATCTTTTTATATTTCACTCGCATCATAACTGATTAAAATAAATGCATAAAATGTAATCTATGAGATTATAATAATTAAAAGAAATTTTATAATTAATAAATATATTTAATAACAATAAATAAGTACAATAATAAAAAAATGTAATAACAGATAAATATAATAATGAATAAATTTAATAATAGATAAATGTAATAATAAATAAATATAATAATTAATAAATATAATAATAAATATAATTAATAAATATAAATTATAAATTATAATAAATAAATATATAATTAGCTTGGCTGTAAAGTCTACTGATAATAAAATTTATACGCCAGTTCCCATAAGAACACATGACTAAGACACATGTTTTGTATTTCAGATACACTAGCAGTGGCATAGTCAAGAGAATGTCAAGGGAGGTGGGTTATTTTAGTATACCCCATCCCCTTGTTAGTATCTTGGCTATGCCACTGCTTGTATATTGAAGTATAAAACATATATCTTAGCCATATATTATTGTGCGAGGTAACTTCAAACCATCATTAGAATTTTAAATATTTTAATTGTTATTCAATTCAAGTAAATTCTCATAAATATGGAAATAAGTTACTATTTAGTTTATAAAGGGAACTATATTATAGTCGAAATCATAATCCCTTCAAATTATAGGCTTCCTCAAAGCTCTCAAAACGCGTTTGTTTCGGTAATGACTGCTTCATTCGACTCAAATCTCTTACCGCCCAGCCATATCTTTAGGTTTGGAAACAGAAAATAGTCGCAGGGGGCGACTATCTGGAGATGGATAGATGCTGGATGAGGTAGCAGTTCGTATCCCAATTCGTGGATTTGAGATCGTGATGTTTAATCAGCACACGAAATTCACTTTTTTCCATTTTCGTTAAAATTCACGAAGTTGTCTGCTTTAAACGGTTATCAAACACCAACTGAACGACGTAGCCAGTAGCGTTGCACAGTGTGGCAGAATTAATATTAAACAGTCAAAATTTAATTTATTCTGAATAAATAGAGACTCTTAAATAAAAATTTTTTTAAATGTAATTTTTAAAATTAGCTTTCTTTTATCATCCACTCAGTTATCAATCCACCTGAACCTTCTCATAAATACAAAAGAAAGCTTATTTTAAAAACTATATTCTACTAAAATTTTATTTTTATATTTAAAATTTTTTAATTTTATTTTTTTACACTGTGCGTTGCTATGTGACATAGTGTGGACCAAATTAATTCTTAATCTAATATATTTTTGGGGTGCGGAAAGTGAAACAAACACAAAAAAGTATCTTTATTGTTATAAATGCAGTCTTAAATTCATGTGCTTTTAATTTGCAAATAGTAAGACCCTCTATATGCTTGGGAAATTCAAATGACAATCAGAACAATCAAAAGTTAATAATTTCTGAATACTAATTTTTTGGCAGCTTGCCTCTCTTATCCTTTACGTTAGTTTTAGTACATATTTAAATAACACATTATTAGAATTAACATAATTTTTTTATATATCTACAATCTTTTTTTAAATATCTTTTAGTAATATTGTTTGAAAAAAAATATTTTTTGATTTTTTTTTTTGCATATTATTATATGTATGTAGTTTAAATTTTTAAAGAAAACTCTAAATTGAGCATCCATTGTACATTTGCAAATTGTCATTTTATTAACTTTCTGATTTTGCTTGGGGATGATTTTCATGTAAATTATTTCGACTACGAAATTATTCATGAATATTTTGATATTCACGCGAAAACGCAGCGGGAATTTGCTGAAATCAAATAAACAAAGCTCGCAGGGATTTTCATTTAAACTGACCTATGGGCTTATGAATATATTGAATTATTAATATGAACCGAAAATAATAGCACAAAATTGAATCAACAAAAGTCAGAACCGTAAATAACTTGAACTTAAGTTTCTTAAGAATAGAAAAAAATATATATATTCTTATATAAAGCATATATATATAATATAAAAATGTATTTATATTCCAGTAGGTTGGATAAATTAACATTGCTTATTATAATATTAAATGTATTAAAAATTATATATTCATAAACTTTTTCATATACAACATTATCATTTCACAGTTAATGTTGGGTGTGTGGGGAGAGGGGGAAGGGGGGAATGATTTTCATACTTATCATACAATTCTCATTATTTTCATATATTATATATTCAAGTCATTCATAGCATTTCGCTAGCATATTTTATTAATTTTTTTATGCTGAGGAGCGGATAAATTTTAGCTTAGGGCTGTGTCATTTTTATTTCTGCAAAAGTACATACAATGTGTGCATTTCTGTATATACGGAAAAAACGGAAAAAATTTCTAACAATAGAACGTTTCATATTTTTTATTCATTATCATACATTTCAGCGTATTCTCGACATGCGCCCATTTTTTATTTTATTTTCCATCCTTTTTTATCATTCTTTATTTTATTTTATTTTATTTTTCTCCTCACATCTGCTGGCATTTATTTCTTTTGTCATTATTCATATCCTTTACATGCGGTTTTTAATTAACGGCCACTTACTTGTCAACATTTTTGTTCTTTTTTAATCCTTTTTTAAATGCAAATTAAATGTAAATTGAAATTTTTGCATTTAATTTTTCTTTGAGTTTTCGAGTATCTTTCCGAAGAATGCAAAAATAATAGGTGAATTCGTGAAATATTAATAAATTATAGTATTTTATTAGTTTTCGTATAAAATATGATTTCCATGATTTCACATTTTAATTGTTTTCCTTTCCAGCGCCGACGAGGGTTTCGATGGTACATACGCCACAAACGTCGTTGTGCGGAACAATGGCTCCTGCTTGTATGTGCCACCTGGCATTTTTAAGTCAACATGTAAAATTGATATTACGTGGTTTCCTTTCGATGATCAACGTTGCGAAATGAAATTCGGTTCATGGACATATGACGGCTTTCAAGTGAGTTCATTTAATATATGAATAAGTTACTATAGCGATATGTTGTGGTGATGTACAAATAATATTAATATCAAAGATAAGTTAAGTTAAAGTATCAGAATCAATATTACTATAGGTTTCCACTTAAAGATACAGGATGTCTCCATTTAATTTGGTATAAATGTGAAAATCATTTCTTGTTTAAAAAACTGAAGATATCATACAAGGTGTGACGTTACAATTACAATAGAACTTTTCTTTTGTAAGCATATCACAAAAGAACGACCGCATCAGATATAAGTTAAGTTATCAGAATCAATATTACTATAGGTTTTCACTTAAAGATACAGGATGTCTCCATTTAATTTGATATAAATGTGAAAATCATTTCTTGTTTAAAAAACTGAAGATATCATACAAGATGTGACGTTACAATTACAATAGAACTTTTCTTTTGTAAGCATATCACAAAAAAACAACAGCATCATACATAAGTTAATTTAAGCTAGCAGAATCAATATTACTATAGGTTATCGCTTAAAGATACAGTTTGTCTCCCTTTAATTATGTATAAATGTGAAAAAGAACAACCATTTATTTTAAAAATAACATATGAATCCAAAACTTTTACTTTAAATTTTATTACGTATTTTGCATATATAAGACTAACAAAAATTTCCAGTTCTTCCAGAGTTGTCAACAAAAATAGTGCTTATTTTATGTTGTTCTTTTGCAACTTGCTTACAAAAGAAAAGGCCTAATATGACCGGAATACAGGTTACCAGTATAAAGTGTAATTAAAAAAATTCATTCAAAAACTCATCAATATCTCATATAAGTCTCATTCAAATCATTGAATCAGATATCAGTTTTTAGTGCAATAAATATTGTTGAATCCCACGTCATGTGTTATCATTATCTTATACATATCACATGTATATCAATTCTTACGGTATTAAAATCTGTGATATCAATATCTCATTCAAATATCAGTTCAATAAATTCAGTTCGTGAAATCATATAAACGTTTTTGATGTAAAAAAAAATTGAATTTATTATCGCAGAATATTAATATCTCATTTAGTTTATCCAATCAGTTCTTAATGCATTAAATATTTTTGAAATTAATATCGTGTGATCAAATCATTTGAGATATTATTTTAAATCTCATTTAGTTCATCAAATCATATATTCATTTTTAGTGTATTAAATATTTTTGGACTCCATGTCGTGTGATGTCAATTAACTCACTCACATCTCATTCAGTTCATCAAATCATATATCAGTTTCAAGTTAATTAAACATTTTCTTACTTAATGTTAAATTTATTACTTAAATGAGTTATTGTAGTTCAGTTTTAATTTTTTTTTTGAAAAATTAAAAAAATTTTCGAATATTTTTTTGGAAAACTTCCTTCTTTTTAGATATTTTGTAATTTTTTTTTAAATGAATTTAAAAGGAGGTTTTTCGAACAGTAGTGAACTACAATAACAAAAAATTTTTTTTATATTATTTTAATTAATTAAATTTTTGGCTGACCATACAGCTGTTTCGAGTATTGCTAAATACCTATTATAAGTGGTTTTGTAAATAATTCTTGTATTTAATTATTCGTAAATAGTTTTTTAAGACTGCAAGTAGCAGGAATCGAACTCGTGCTCTGCCAAATTTGAAGCTTAGAGTCAGCGCTTCTTAACCAACTGATCCACAGCCGCACTTGACTTTTATGTTAGCACATTTTTCTGAGTTTTGTTAATTTCCTATGAAAGTTGCTTGCTTTTTTATATTAGAACGAAATCATAATCAGCTGGAACTGTTAAATTTCATTCCAATTCTGTTAATGAAACCTCTTTGATAAAAAACAATATATTACCGTAGTAATTTCTAAACCAATACAAATGCAAGGACGTGTTAGATACAAAATTTAAATAAATTTTTCTAGAAATTTTATTTTGTTTAAATTTTGTCATTTAAAGTTAATTTTAAAAATTATGTGAAAACAATCAGCTTACAAAAGTGGCAGTGGTTTTATTTATTTATTTTTTTTTTGTTTTTTTCAGTTGGAAAAAATAAATTAACATATTTCATTAAACATTTTAAAAAATGTGTGATTAAAGCTGCTTAATAGGTCAATTTTATTTTAATGATTTTTGAATTATTTAAATGAATATTATTAAAAATTTGCATTAAATTAATTGTGTACCAAAATTTAAGCTTATTTACATGCAAATGGGATAGAGATTAAATCACTGAAACCAATATCAAATTAAAATAATACAATTTAAGCTTCAGTTTACACTAAATAAATTTCATAAAATTTATATTTGTTTTGATTAATTATAGTATTAAAAAAAATCCATTATAACAAGTGAGAGCTAAGCTAATAAAGCAAAAGATATGTCCATAATTGAAACAAACAAAATTAACTTCTTAACTTGACTGGATGACAAAGTCAAGCTCAAGCACTTGTTAGTTTTTACTATAACTATACACCCATAAATATCTTGTATTTCTTATAACTAAACGACTTCTTTCTCAACATTTTTCCACATTTTCCTTCTGATTTTCACTTGGTTCGCATATTGAAATAATTTAATTAACCCCCCGTCATTTAAACTGCAGCTTAATGAATTCAATTTATTTTGGTCTTGTCAGCAACGAAATTTGGCTGTCATTTGCAATTCTGCTCAATGTTTAATTTGGCATATATTTTTCTTGGTGTATTTAATCAAATACTGAAATATTTATGAAATAAGTGAAAACGTTTCGTTAGTTTTTGTTATACAAAAAAAAAAAAACAAAAAAAGCAGAAAAAACACAACCAATAGGAGCAGCTGTGCTCCCCTCAAAATTGTTTGACGATAATAATTCATGCGCTGCGCTCCAAATGCAGAATTCATGGCATTTATAAATTGTAATACCGGATTTCTGGTATTACAATCCATAAATATTCAATGCGATTTTTAACTGCAGTGTTTACAGGCAAAAAAAACCAGGCTAAAATGTGTAAAAGTGTTGCGACATATACGAGTACATGTATATGGAGGATATATATGGAGGTACACATACCCATATTCACAGCTTTATTTACACACAAATATGCATAGTCACGACTGCTCCGAAATAAGGCAGATAAATATTAGTAAATTTATGCAGTGGCGTAACACTGAAAGGACTTAAGGCCATTGAATATTCAAAAAGTTTATTAGATATTGGAAAATTATTTCCGAACACTTTATTAACGAAGAATTTTAAGAGTTTTCATTGGGAAGAGAATTCGATATCAAGATATATGCAATTTAAATATTTTTGTGTCTTCAGAATTTCTTTAACTAATCCGTAAAAAATGATTAAAAAAATAAAAATGTTTAATTAAGTACTGAGAATATTTATTCTCTCTTATGAATTTTTAGATGATCCATCGCACGTTAATTTCTCATACATCTACATTTTCATAACATGCTTATTTCTGTTTTAGGTCACACTTATTCCTTCTATGTCTTTAGTTTATCTTTATTTTAAAAAGTGTGTTATTTATTTATTTTTTCATATTTTTATTTTTAAGTTTTCTTCATTTACATAGTAATTTAATATTAATGTTATCGGTTGATCTATAACACATAGATACTCCAGACGATTTCTGTTTTATAGTGATCTTATTTTCTTTCACATTCCAAGAATTTTTCATTGATTCAGATATTAGTAGAATCAGTAGAATCTATTGGGCATTGATCCACTAACTTTAACTTTTAAAGAACTAATATTATCTTCCACCGCTTGAGAACTTTTCCTTAGTTTAGATAATAGCTTTATCGTTAGACTTATAATATTTATTATATTATAACAATTAATTAATTATAATTTATTACGGAATTAATTTTAATTTCTTATAGGTAAAAGGGGTTCAGAAACTACAATAACAATCTGAGTATTCCCTTTTGCCAGTATAAATTTTTTTTTGTATCCCAAAAACCAACGACAACATCATTTAATCGATTTCTGGACATAAACTTGTTTCGGAGCCAAAGAACTAAAATAAAAATTGTTGACGTGAAATCGCCCATAAATACCGGCGACCAAAACAATCTTATTGTGCCAATTTTACTATTGATTACACAAAGCACTTTAAAGCTTTGTGAACAAAATCCGGAGCCAAACTCACACAAATCCTCAAACTCTTGTTTTATTCAGTATCATCGAATTATAGTATATAGAATATTCTTTCACAACCCCAAATGTTGTTGAGTAATCGAAAGCGTATTTGTATTTGTTTCATTGTTAACAAATGTGGATCCATAGGTTTTTGATGCCCAAAATTTGAGTTAAAGCAGTGCTCTTTGAAATATGTATAGTTTATATTAAATTACTGGCGGTTAATCGACGATCTTCTGAAACCACAACTTGTATTTTAACAGTGGTTTCCGGGTTTGATGTTGTTTTAAAACATTATTTAAGTGGATCGTCTCTAAGACTTATGCAGCCAGTCCGTGCAGGTTGGAAGGGTTTGTGTTGATATAACTGTCTGCACTTTCACTTACATACACATTTTGCTCGTTATGATGCCCTCGAAGACTAGAATCATTGTAAAAAGTCATTATTTCTATTGTGTTGAAAGCAATAGACTATGCGATCTATTGTTAAAAAATACACTGGCACATTCAACTGGATTGGAAACATATTAATATTTATTTTAACATATTATAAATGATATTTTGGCCATATTTTATTAAAAAATGATTTTTTAAAATGACATAGAAGTTTTAGTCCTACTACTGATGAATTATTGGTGCTTCGCTCACTTTTTGTGAGCAACCCCAGTATCCTTCACACAATCGTTCACGACTTACAAATTCAATATTTATATATTTTATTTATAAAAATAATATAGAAAGTAGTTTTTGTAAAAAAAAAAATTTTTGTATATTATGAGGCAATTTTTTTTTTGACTATGAATCCACGAGTGGTTGTGACCTTCTAATATGTGCACTGGCAGTAGCCAAAAAAGTCACATATTTGAGTTT